CCATTCACACACACTGCATGGTTGTTTGCATCGTGTTTGCTGGCATTTAGCAGCAGCAGCCGCCGTTCCTGGAGGCTGCCAGTACATGGGTGCCACTGCCGGCGTCTCGGAGCGGTGCTCCCCGCATCGCTGCCTCTTAAACACCACCAAGAACCCGCGCTTCCTTGGGAAATGGATGTGCCCTATGCTTGGAAAAGCCTAGTCAAGGGAAATGTCGTCCCTCCCCACACGCTGTTTTGGTACCTCAGTGTATTTTTAACAACATCCCTGAGTTGCAAGCTGTGTTTTCAATGAATCAGGCATTCATCTCCCGCGCTCGTTAACCCAGCGCAATCTGGCGAAGCTGCCGGTGCTGTGGGGAGGGTTGTGTTAGCTCAAACTCCCAGCTGCGCAGGCGGGGAAAATGTCACCTTTGGTTTACGCCAGAAAAGAAGAGAATTCAGGGGCAAGGTGTTGAACACCTTTGGGTCTTGCTTGTGGTGCAAGTTTGGGATAAAGAAAACTAAGGCAGTTTCAGATTGGCACCTAGAAGCAAATGTGGAAGGTGCCATGGCAGGCTGCAGCCAGGGGGACAGGGTCCTGGATCAGGCCATGCCAAGCTGCACGGCTGCAGATCACCCAGGCAGCTGGGTAAAGCAGCAGATAAAACTCTTGGTGCTTCTCTGCGTGCAGTGGGGTTGTGCAGTGATTTGTGGGGAGTGGTGCAATTGCTCTAGTTCTGCAAAGTGCAAGGGAAGCTGAATATCGTCGAGAGGAGAAGCAAGATAGCTGTGCTAATGAAAAAAAAAAAAAAGTATGTATAAGAGCTGATTTTTAATCAGCTAGGTTGGGCAAAGCAATCCTGAGAGACTTGAGGCTCCTGCAATGTCCTCTTTAATGGCTACTTCATTCCTCAGCAGCGCTGACTTCCAATTTGAAAAGAGCTTTTTTTTTTTTTTCTCCTGAAAGAATGATTAAATAGCATCAGCATAAGCCTCCAGGAGCAGTGTCAATGCCCGGTATCTGGGAGGCAGGCTGGGCTGCATGCTCTGTGCAGGAAAGGTCGGGGCTCAGAGATGGAATGACATGCACAGGACCTTGTTTTACGGCGGTGAATAGCACTGCTGGTGCTGGCTGCCACGCAAGCGGGATGTTGGGCACCACCGCTCGTGGGTGTTCATGGCTGTCTGTGGAGGAACTCCATCTCCTCCCTGACTGGTAAGTGCTGAATAAAGACAGGCAACCAGGGTCGTAATGCTGATGTGCTGACTGATAGTTACTAACAAAGATGCATGAAAACACCACCTTCCCCTTTCCTCCAGGGAGCCCTGGAGCCAACCACTGCGGTGGGATGTGGCTTTGCCCAGCCACCACGTCCCATGCAGCACGGCCCTGGGCGTGTGGAGGGAGCCTCGCTGGATCCAGCCCGAGCAGGGTGGTGGGTAAGATGGGCCGTGGGTTGCGGGGGCAATGGCCTCCGTACAGCACTGGCCAGGTGCTTCAGCATCCCCCAGGGAAAGCACATGAGTGTCAGCTTGGCAATAGCTGAATGCCAGTTCATGCAATTATTTTGGATTTCTAGAGAAGATCATTTCTGGCTTTGAAAACATTGCCGAGAGCTTCCACCACCGGCTCAGTAAAACCTGAGCTGTCCACAACTGCTAGTGAGGGTGATGGCAGGATCCCCCCCCCAGCTTTCCTGGCTGTTTCCACCATCCTGTGCCGTCCCTCTGGAGCTCCTGCACCCTGCGCATGGTGGGATTCCCTGTGGAAGGGAACCACAGCCGTTCGGTGGTGCTCTGCCCTGGTACCTGTGGGCACCGGCACTCCAGCATCTTTGCCCAGGGAGGATGCTCAGCTTGTGCATGGCCAGAGCAGCTGATGACGACTGGGCACCTTGGGCTTCATCAGACTCGGGGTTTGCTTGTCTTGCCATCCCAGTCGATACCCCAGCCAGTGCTCCCAGCACAGCCGTCCTTGGTGGTTTTCATGGGCTGCTGCTGGTTCGGCTGCTGGGGACTGAGCTGGTTAATTGTCTCAGACTTGGGGATTAGCGCAATGGAAGCACAAAGGGCTTTTACTGTCAGGTTACTTAGAAACCAGCCATTGATTTTACTTGGCGATTTTGCAGCTTCTGGCCATGTGTGTCTGTATATATATGATTGTGTGTGTAATATATCTACACCTATATATACACCTGGAAGCTGCAAAATAGATGTAAATATATAAATATATATATATATTTGCTTAGGATTTTTTGGGGAGTGGTTGGTGTGGGTTGTGGGTGTGTTTTTTGTTTTTTTTTTTTTGTTTTAGGAGGGTAGAGGAGAACCAGTTCTCAAGAACCATTGCTATTTCAGACAAATTACTGCTCTGCCTTAGGGCCAGTAATCAAATCAGCAGCTGCGTCCTTTTAAGCAGCACGAGGTCTGCACTGGGAGGTGAGCTATCCCAGGCAGGCCAAGTTTTTAGCTGGTTTTGTGGCTCCGTGTGTTGATGTGGCCACTTTGCTTTCAGGCTGCCTGCCCATTAATTAGAGCATGCAGTTTAGTGAAGCGCTCGCAGGCAAACCAGGGCTGAAAATGATGGGAGTAGCTGGGGGCTGCGACCCAGCGATGCTCTCTAGGCTGGACCGCAGGCTCAGGCAACCTCCTCCTGAGCCGCTGAGCAGCTTCTGAACTCATTTTGCAAGAGGGATCTTGCACTGCAAAGACTTGGCACTTTCAGTGTCGTCTCTTTACTATAGACATAAAATTTTCCAAGTACCCAGGCGATGTGTACGCTAAGTAAATGGCAAAGACAGCTTTGGAAATTCAAACACAATATTTCTTCACGGATTTGTTAGGGGATCAAACTCTACAGAGAGCTGGTTATCGCTCTCCGGAGCAAAACCAGGTTCCCGTGTGTGTGTGCTTTACCCTCCAGGTCCCCAGCGTGTGGAGGGACGACCCCTGATGTGGCGATGTGGTACGGGGGGACGGGGGACCTGTGGGAAAGGAGGACAGGGACAGCCAGCCGGTACCTGGGCTGAGACCCTGAGACAGACCCTGCTGCTGGGGGGAGTGGTGTACCTATAAAGGCATGCAAACACCAGAGAGCTTCACTCACACTATGTGTACATATATGTATGTATGCATTTATATATGCATATATATATATGAAGGGTATGTATATGCAAATATATGTAAAGGGGTATATATAAAGGGTGTGTGTGTGTGTATATACATTTATATCTATATACAGCTCCATGGCCAAGCTGTGCCCTTGCAGCCATGCGCCTGCGCAGAGGTAGAGCCAGACTTTGAAAGGCAATGAATAGCTCAGTGAGAAATAGGACTTAAAAAAACCCTTGTACAAAATAAACGTAAACTGTTTGGAAATGAGCAGTAGCACTTGACTTCTCCGACGAGCATTATGCAGCGGGTGGGCTGTCTCCAGAAGTAACATGGAAATCCCAATCCTGCAAGCCTGGGCTCCTCTTTGCTGCCAGAAGGGTTGCAGCTCTGTCTGGAGCACGCAGGCAGCTGCCAGGTATTTGCCTTTTAACTTTCTGAGGGTTATGCTTTGTGCTGGTGAGCAGGGGACGATTGGCATCATTTGTGCTATTCTGTGCATGGATGGGTTTTTGTTACGCAGGGGTCCAGCTGTGCTTTCACTCAAAAAAAATAATAAAAGAGAAAAGAAAATGGAAAAGGAAAAAAAAATCAGGTCAGTGCCTGCCCCAACCGTACTCTGAGCCCGGGGGCTCGTGGTGCTGGAAATGCAGCTCTAGCTTTTAAAGTATCTATCTACTCGAGGACAAATCCCTCGCTCTCCTTGAATTTTAAATTCCCATTAGCAGTGCTAAATTTTGGGTACAGTAGTGGCACGAGGGGTCCTGGGGAGGGGCAGGAGGGTGGGCACCCCTGCCCCAAGGGCTGCCTGCACCATTTGGGCTGGCTGCCCTGGTTTCCCCGGGGATGCCTTTGGTTGCTCTCCCATGTGGGAAATTGTGCCATATGAGCAAATACCTGAAATGGCCACAAAATCAAGCGTGTAAAAAGAGAAGGAGCTGAAAGAGCAGGGCATGACCTGAGCTAATGTTGGGTGTTCTGACCCTTTTCACCGTGGGTGAGCAGGGCTTTTATTTTATTTGGCTTTAAATAATTCATTAGGAATAGCAGAAAGTGGAGCGATTGTTCGCAGCACTCTGCAGCGGAAGGTAGATAGATGGTCCCCAAATTATACCTTGATCTGGCAAAAAAATTTGCACAGATCCAGCTGTAAAGTAAAGGTTAAAGCAGGAAGGTATAATTATACAGGGTATTTTGTACTGCAGTGATAGGTTTAAGTTAGGGTAGGGGTTTAATGTATGGCACATTTCATGGCCTCAGGGCTAATTATCTTGTCTCCAGCCTGGCTCTGGGAGGTGGGGAGAAGGGTGATAACTTTATCTCACTTATGTTGAAAAGCAGCCGGTGTTAGGGATCAAGCTGCTGCCTCCCCTCAGGCTGGGAAATCGTGGGGTGTTTTGTTCCTGGGGAATCCATGAGCTTGGGAGCCCCAGTGGTAACCGGATCAGGGGTTTGCTGTGATGGATGTGAATGTTTTGACAAGTGTGAGGGTGAATCAAAAAAATGCAAAGCTGAATAAGGCAAATACTTTAATCAGTGTTACTACAATGAATACCAAACGATGATGAAAGTGAAGGGAATGCGTGTGCCTTATTCATGGGACCCGAAATGGCATCGGATGTGAGATATATCTGAATGTATTTGGGTTTGTTCCCAGCCCCACGAGTGCTCAGAGCTTTTCCCACAGCCTGGTGAGGCAAAGGATGACAGCAGTGCATCCACCCTTCTCCAAACTGGGCAGCTGGCATCCCCAGTGAGGGAGAATATGTCCCTTTTGGAGGAGAATGGATGATTTGGACAAAAGCAGGGTCTCATCATCTCTGGCTGCTGGTTTCCCACTGGTTTATTTAAGTTGTGTGTCCCTTGAGGGCTTAACAATATTTTCTAATTATTTTCTTTTCCTTCTAGAAACCTTGGAAAATCTGGGCTGAGAGTCTCGTGCCTGGGCCTGGGTGAGTAATCTCTTCAGCCGCCGCACTCACTGCAGCTGCATGCTGCCCTGGGGTAGTGGTAGCTGCTCTTGTATTTCAGTAAAAAAAAGTGTGCTCTCTCAGAGCCCCGGCCTGCGCTCAGTCTTGCAGATGGCTCACGGTAAAGGCCCTTACGTGTGTTAATAACGGCTCTGTGCATCAGCCAAGGCGCTCGCTTTCCACCCATAGCGCCTCAGTGGAACTGTACGAGGGTTTATGGCATAAAATCCTTCTAATACAGCCTGATCCCCACGAGGGACAGCCTGCAGAGACCATATCTGAGATGTCTATGAATGTCCCCAAGAGCTTTAAGTGTCAGAGCACTAGTCTCAGGGGACGGCAGTCTGCCTGGGCTATGGGCAGATTTTTATTTTATTTTATCCGGTGTGTGTACCTTGTTATTTCTGTTCCATACGTATTTGAAAACTAAAGGATATCTTATCAATATTTTATCTTCTCAATATTTTATCAAAAAGGGCATCTGTAAGCACTGCAGCACATATGTGCTGGCCCTGCAGGTCCTGTAGCAATGCTGCAGTTCCTGCAGGCTTTAGTACCTTGCTGCTGGCTTTCAGCTGCCAAGTAAGAGTGTGTGTGATGGACTGGACAACTCCTGATGGCTTTACTCATGCAAGTAATGTCTTTGATGGCAGTTGAACTGCTCATGTGAAGAATGCTTAAAAGTACACCTATATATATATTTTAAAAAAACAAACACTGTAGAAAGGAGGAGGTGGCTGTTTTCTCACTGTGGGCACCTTCCTGTGGTGCAAGGTTGGGGCATCAGGAATGTGAAGCGCTTGGGGATGTGCGGAGTCCCCCCAGGGATGGATGCTCAGCTCTGCCGGGCCCCTCCAGCCCTGTGTTAAAGGGGGGTCCTTGTTGCCCCTGAGGTCAGAGGTGCCGGCACGGGGAGGTGGAGGCACTGGCATGTGTTTAGGAAAGCGGTTGGGTGTGCTGGGCTCCCATGCTGCTGCCTCAGGGGTGAGTGGGTAAAGGCAGGAGCAGGCAAGGACCTGGACTCTGCCTGCATTTGGTGCCTGCTGTGGCGATGGGCACCCCTTCCAGCTCCCCGCTCCATCCCGAGCTGGTGCCGGTTGTGCTCACAGGGCAGGAAGGCCCAAGGGGTTAGCTCATTTTTTCCAACATGCTTTGAGGTTTGATTTTAAAATAAAGTGAAATGTGAAAGTCACCCTATATTACAAGTCATATAAATAAGGCCTATTCTGCCAAGAAGAGCTCTTCTGGCTAAAATAGATCCAGGCTTTGAAAGGAGTTGTCTATCTGGTGCAGAGATTTTATTTATCATCCTTACAGTTTCACCAAGAGCTAATGTTGTTGTGGTGGAGAAAAGCTATGGGAAGGAAGTAGCAGCAGGAAAAAATGTTTTGCAGAGCTTTTCTTTAATTTCAAGCATGTGGAACTGCAGCAGCATCTAAATATATTGAGTCTTTGTGAGTGCAGCTGCGCGGGATGAGTGGGGGTGAGGATGGAGCAAGTGGCTGCTGGGCTGTTCTGGGCAAGGCTGAGGGAGAGCTGCTGGGCATCAGTTCAGAGCCGGGCAGCTCAGCCTGTTGCAGAAGCAGTGAGCCCTACAGCCCCTGGGGGGTGTGTGGGAACTGGGGAAAGAAGAACTGGAAAGCCTGAAATTCAATTGCCGCCTTCTCTTGAATGTACAGGTATCTCTTCTGCAGCACAGCTCATCCTCCCCTCCCACAGCAGATCCATCAGGTGTCTGCTTCGAGTGCTGGCTTGTATGACTTCACTAAGTAGCTTTTTTTTTACAGTTCCCTAAAAGATAAATGTGTTTCCCTAAACTCTCTGCAGCAGGAAAATCTAATTTAAGATTTACTAAAGTTTCAGAAGACAGCAGTCTTCCTTAAAAGCCTTCCAAAATCTCAGCAAGGTGGGAGTGTGCTTCATCCCGTAGCATGAAAAAGTGGAGAAAGATGCGCAGTGGGACAGAAATCAAAGGCAGGCAGTGCTCAGGCAATGTGTACCCTTTAATTACTTCTTCTCCCAGCTCACACTCTCTAATTAATTCATTTGCTGGGTGCTGCTTGCAGTGTGAAAAGCGTTGAGCGAGCGCACGAGGCCAGCGGGGTGTGTTAGCAGCGTGTTTCACAAGCAGACGTTTAGGAAGGGTTGCCGTGGCCGAGAGCACGAGCATCGCTCCCGGGTCGCTGAACCTCCTGCCGGAGCAGGGACCATTCTGCTGGGCTGAGCTCCCCTGGGACCCAGCTCCTGCAGCATCCTGGTGCTGAGCCCGGCTCCGGGCTGGGCTTCCACCTCCTCCTTTGGGTGAGCTAATGCCAGGCGAGGCTTTAATTGAGGAATCTTAACAGTCTAACCCCAGGCAGATGCATGGGCTGGTGTGAGGCCCTTGGCACGATGCTGGCTCGGAAATGCAATTGTGATGCAGAGGGAAAAATAAGATCACATTTTTCTTGTAGTTAATTCAGAGGAAATCCTGCCTGTGGAGGCTGCCTGTTGATTTTTTAGAAAATATTGAGACAGCCTCCAACAAGGTGATTTGCCCTGACTCCAAGGAAACGAGCAGCAGGATGAAACCAGCCATCCCAAACCCCAAAATCCAATTCAATGTAAAAAAGCACAGAATAAACTTTCCCGAACGAGCGGTTCCTACAGCCACCGGCAGGATATCCTGCGCTCGCGGTTGGGTACAAAAACAGACATTTTGTGAGCAGAAAGGGGTTGGCTGCTGCCATTGCCCCTTGGTGCTTTGCTCTGGAGAAAAGCTTTTGCAAACCCAGCATGTAAGAGAAACCCAACCCCAAATGCCTGCTGGCCCGGGACGATGGTGAGGGGGTCTGATTTGCACCCAGGTTCTCACGGTGTGCAGGGCTGAGCATTTGCTGGTCACTCGAGTGCCAGACCAGACCCACGTGCCAGATCTCCATGTGGCATCATCCTCGCCAGAAGCAAGCCGGGGATGAAATTGTATTGGCAGGAGGCGAAGCTTTGGCTTTCAGCCAGGAATGCTTTTTTTCCTGCAGAGGTGACACATCTGCTGGCAAGGACATTATCGAGTGGTGAATTTTGCATCAGCAAATAACCCAGCAATAATCACACCTTGCTAGGTTTTGGGATGCAATGGAAATGGAGCCAAATTCAGTTTTAATACAGAAATTCCTCTGTTGAAGGTGAGGATATCCAGCTGGGAAATTGCTTTCCAGTGCGAGGGAACAACGTGATGGACGAGGGGCAGGAGCGGGAGGTCTATCTGCCACTGCCAGGCTGAGTCGTGGGGGGGACACGTTTATAAACAGCGAACTGGGATAGACAAGAGAAAGATGATGGCTTGGTAAGGGGAAAAGTAATGATTTAAAAAAAGTGTCTTTCTCTAGTATATTTTTCTTCCAAAATACTCCTGTTGGCTGAGGTTGTGAATCATCCTCAGTCGTTGTTTGAAATGCCAAGTGCGCCTTGCGCTTTCTGGAGTGATTTTTTTTTTTTTTTAATTGGAGTTGAGCAGCGGGTGCTGTGCTGTGCCGCAGCCCCAGCAGCTGCCCAGCTGCTTTGGCTGCAGGTGCCCACCACCACCCACACCGACTGCCTGGGGGTGGTCATGGGATGGGGATTCATATGCTGCCTGCCTTGCTCCCGGCTCTGGCTGGGACCCTAACAGCACATCTCAATTGCATCTGATGCTTTAGAGATCACCTTGCTGAGCAAAAACTCACCTCCCTGGCTGGTTTTTGTAATTATCAAGGAAAAAAAATACTCCAAAAAATACTCCAAAAAATACCCCACCCATGTGGTCCTGATGATGCTCGCTGTTCAGGGATCCCAGGCCCCTTGGGTCCCCCCTGCTGGGGTCTGGGAGCACAGCGGGGAGACAGGCAGATCCAGGGCAGGTATACCCAGTATTGCATATATTTACTACTTATATTTAAAGACATAAAGTGCTCCTTATTCTTACATGAGCCATTGCCAGCTCTCAGGCTGCTCTCCATGTGCCCAAACACTGGAGCGTTTTGCTTCTCCGTGACGCTTTGCTGCTCGGTGAGGCATGGTTTGCGTTGTAAGGTCGTAGTCACCTAAATTTGAGAAAGGATGTGCAACCCACAAAGTGCATAAATAATTCCTTTTCTTCTCACCTGTGCTGGGGACCTGTATGCATACTTAAGCAAAAAAAATCACTTTGGGATAAACAGTCTCAAAACATTTTTCAGCAGAAATGCATTTTAATGCATTCCTATAAAAATAACACTTCTGAAGCTTTAGCAAGGAAATTGGGCTTCGTTTGTTTTTTTTTTTTTTTATCTGCCTAAAGAAGCTTAATGATAAACTGAAACCTGTTTTCATTTTTATCTTTATTGCGCAGGACCAGAGCATTTCACTCCAACGATAAGAGAAAGTACCTTTCCTGAGGCCTATAACCAGCAAGGCGTACTCGGCGGGTGCTGCTGTCACCCGATTATTGCCCTTATAGAGAGCAGAAGTAGATGCAAGATTAGTTAGAAATATGTGTGTTCTTTGCTCATTTTTTTATTTCGGTAGCATTAGCTGTGTTACGCATTTTTGATCTGTGAAAACTTGGTTTTTCCAGAGCTTGGGCTATTCTGCAGGAAATTGAGAGTTTCAGTTTAAATACACAGTAAACACACATCTTTAAAAATAACTTTATTTGTACTCAGAGAAACATGATGTATTAACAAAAAACTTCAATTAACTTAGCCGACTCTCCTTGTTTTAACCAGGGACTGATCAAAGCAGCTCGAGTGTTAGCAGTAGGCACGCACTTTGCTTTCTGACTCCTGCTCAGGGATCATCTTCCACGCTTGCTGTGAGCAATGAGCTAACCAATACATTTTTAATGAAGATGTGGGAGCGCTTACGTATATCTACTGCACCAGGCCCTTGGCAAATGCAAGCAGGCAGGCAGGGAGCATTTAATTTTTTCCCCCTTAGTAGCATCAGAGCCCGACCCTTCCCTGGCCCGGCGATCTCTCCTCCGTCTTGCCCAAATCACACTGAATTTTCCAGCTCAGGGTCTGAACCCCTCTGCCCTCTTTATGGAGCGACAATATAAGGCAGAATTTTAAATTCTGGAGGATTTTGTGCAAGTCGTGAGCTTTGACCCATCCGTTAAATGAGTAGCGCAATTTTATATGTAGCTGGCGCATAGGTCTTGAAAAACGCAGGGAAAAGTCATGCTATAGATCAAAGTGACGTCATGGGACGCTGACAAAAGGCAAAGGTAATGTCACAGCCTCCTCTTTTGTGTCTCAGCATCGCTTTCCATGGGGTGTTCTGTAAGGTCAGATAAGTAGTGCAGGAGCGATGTCTGCCAGGGTGAGTACATGCTGTCGGATTAGTGCCCATATGGGACCTGGTACTTCCCCAGTTCACTGTCGTCTCTTTCTTCCAGTAGCTTATGAAACGTATTCCTAATATATACACATATAAAATACTATTCCTATAGCTTAGGAATATCCCGTTAAATCCACACGCTGTTTCTACCACAGATTTTTTTTGTTTTTTTTTTTGAGCAGTGGTCATAAAGAAATAATGCCCCAAGTTTTTCCTAATAATAGACCAGAATCTACTGCTGAGTCTAAACTGCAGCTACTCTTTGAGCTAGCTGGGGAAAGTGCTGCTCATCGGCTGCGCTGCTGTCTGACATTGGCTTTACGGAAAAGTTCCTGGGGAAAAGTCACTATGGACGGGTTTTAAATACTTCATGTCAATAGAAATACTTCTGATTTTTTGTTTCTAATTTTGACTTGTATGATGCTAAATGCTGAAGCACAAACTTCGGAAGAGTTTCATTCCCCAAATGATATGTTTTGGCACCATCATAAATTTTTCCCCATTTGTCAAATTGAAGCGTTGGAAAATGAACTCAGTTTTGCAAAGAGCTTCAGGTTTCAGTAAAACTGTGTATTTTGGCAGCAGAGGATCTTACTGGCGCTTCCCAGAGCAGGTTCATGGGCTGGTCTCAGGTCTGCACGCCCTCCCCGCTGTCCTCCCCGGGAGAGGGGGCTCCGGTGCCTGCCCAAGTCCTTGCTTGCTCAGGGACACAGCAGCCTCTGAGCCAGTTAACCCTATTTTAAACCTGTTTAAACCAAGGCGCTTGAATTTTGGTAGAGCAAACTTTTGCCAGCAAAATCCTCTTGTAGTAACAGATTATTTTGTTCTTTCTAGGGACGTGGGTCACTTTTGGAGGTCAGATCTCAGACGAGGTAAGTAATGCTTGGTGTGAGTATAATGCATGAAGTAAAAACCAATCTGAGATATTTTTAAATGAAACCATGGCTACCGAAATCAGAGGAACCTGTTTCTGTACGAGGAAATGGCAGAGAGTTACTATGCAAAGCAATACAAAGTTTGTGCTTCTGCTACAAAAAACCTTAATGAATCTGACATTTCCAGAGATCAATTTTAATAAAAACCCCATCTATCCCTTAAAGTGATCTTTTCCGTGCTGTTTGGAGCGATACTTCCATCCTTACCATTGGCATTGGCACCGTTCCTGGAGCAGAAATTGGAAACTATTTTTGCATCATGTGTGTAATCAGCAACAGTCATAAATACAGGCAAGGGCTCGGCTTACAAGGAGCTGCCGGATGATTTATTTTTTTACATAATAAGATGAAACAAATGAAAATGAGCTTGGGTTTCCTACACACTCTTGCCCGTACCAGATGGCTCTTAATCTCAGTTAATAATCCTCCCGAGTGCTGGGCAGCACGTGGGTTTCTCTCCATCTCAGGTGTGCCGTGGATGCTAACCATCAAAAGGAGAGCAACCTCCCAGCAGCCTTCTGTCTAGTACCGTGGCAGAAACCCCAAAATAACTTTTGCGGAAGGAAAATGGCCCAGGAGTCTGAATTCGAAGGTTTTTACTTTTTAAGTCACTTGATCTTTGGTGGTATTTCTTCTGCTGATGGCAGACCACTGCGTTCATTCCTGTTTCTTAGTGCTGCTGGATGAAGCGAGATGACTTGTTTTGACTATGAATTTGCTCCCTGGCTCTCCTGCCCTCCTTATTTAGAATAAGTCAATGCAAGGTGTTCATGCACAGAAAAAAGAGGACTTAAATGCAGCCCTGTCCTTGGGGGCTGCCCACCCTAAGGATGCTGGCCATGCAGGGTGCCCTGGCCGGGCACCCATCCCCCCAGCACTGCTAGCCCCCTCTGGGTGCAGAATGGCCCCCAGGGAGTGGCAAGACTCCTGGGGCTCTGATGGGGATCACATGAAATGACCTTCAGCTGTTTAAATACCTCATGAAGTCTGCTGATGAACTGCAGGACAGCCTGTCTGGTAGCCAAAAAAAAAAAAAATTAAACTCTTACCATGGGAATATCCTTTCTGTATTAAACTCCACAGATTTGCAGAGTATCTATCTTCTATAACCCTATTAAATTCTTGGCTGCTTTCCTATTAGAAAGCCCAGGACTTCCCTATGAGAAGAGATTAATTCCTCCCAGGATGAGTCAAAGTGAAGTTGATGTAAATCTGTGTTTTGGTGCTGCTTGGGCCAGCGCATAAGCTGCCGGGTGCCCTGCTGAAGGGTCTCGCCCCCCAGGCAGGGGATGCTAACACCCCTCCCAGCCCTGCTGAAGCCCCTTCCCTGCGCCTTCAGGGGCTTTTCCCTGTGCAGGAGGAGCTGAGCAGTCTGCCACCCCTCACCTCTCCATCTCTGCTTCCCCAAGGTGGCCGAGCAGCTGATGACCATTGCCTACGAGAGCGGCGTCAACCTGTTTGACACAGCCGAGGTGTACGCGGCCGGCAAGTGAGTGCCCAGCATCCCGTTCCGCTTTCCTGGGGCCCCTCTGCCTGGCTCTGCTCCTCCCTGTGTCACAGTCACTCATGATGGATGGGGCTCTGGTAGTGCTTGGGGATCCCCCTTCTCCCTGAGGGGGCACAGAAAAACCTTTGTTTTTGGAGCACTCTTAAACCAAACCAAAACAACAAAAAAAACCCAAAACCAAACCCCCTTGCACCCAGCTGAAGCCTGAAATGTATCAATCGTGCCACTTGCTGTTGGCAGAGGGAGAAAAATGGCCTGAATAAATGAAAAGTCAGCGCGCATCTTAATGGTGATGAATGGCCTGTGCCAGTGACAGCTCCCAAGCGCAGCTCCTGGCGTGGGGAACCGCTCTGGCTGCAGCTGAGCTGATGCTCTTAGTGTTGCTGCAGGATTGGGGGAAAAACATATCCATCCATAATATATTTGACTTTGGCTGATTTATACGGCTTTGTATTTAGTGTAAAGGGTGGACTGGGGCATCACGTCCCTGGTGTGGGGATGAAGTGGCTCTGCCTTCCCAGAGCAGGTTCAAGCAGATGTAGGGCATGGGGGTGCAGGTCTGTCCCCATAGGAGTGGGTGAACAAGATGCTTTATACCGATGGAGGGGACCTGTCCCAGCTGGTGCTGGGTCACTATCACCTGTGGAGAGGAGGGGAGAGCTGCACAGCTGAGAGCAGCACTGCAGGCTGGTGTCTGGGCGGGATCATCCAGGGGAGCTGGGGTAGATGGCAGCCGCGATGGTGTACGTGGAGCTGAGCATCCTCCTGCCTCCCCTGATGCAGTGCTCTCTCTCTTGCACAGGGCTGAGGTCATCCTGGGAAACATCCTGAAGAAGAAGGGCTGGAGGTACTGTACTGCTGGATGGCGCTCCCTGCCACCTGCAAACGAGCAGGACCCCTGGGCATATGAGAATCCTTCTGGTTTTTAAAAATGATGCATGTTAGGTGGTGCTGATCCAGGACCAGGAGCCTGCAGGTGTGAGGGATATGCTCAGAACAGCCAGCCAGGGCTCCTGCAGCAGCCAGACCTTTCAAGTGCCAAATAAAAATGTGCTCCTCTTTTTTTGGGAGTGCCCACTGGCTTCATGAGGCTGAGATCATCAGCCTGACATGCTGCCCCGACTCTTGCATGAGACCATCGTCTCTGTGCAGAGCACAGTTAACACAACTTCTGAGCATATCTATCATCTTTTCCATGCACGGTGTATGGAGACAGATTATTTGTGTGTTGGCATCCTTATCTGTATACATAAGACTGCATTAAGAATGCAAAGCTGTGACGGGCCTTCGTCTTGGGTAGCCTGGTAGGAGATGATACCTAATTTAAACGATACACATTAGCATATGTTGTGTAGTTTTAAGAGTATTTACATAATCTTTAAAGACCTCCTGTGTGTGTCATATTCAGCCTTCAACTGAAGAGTGGGTCCTAGCAGCGCTCTCTCCAAAATCAGTATCCCCTGTGTTAGGGGGATGATAATTCAGTAGGAAATATTCTGGGTACTGTGGAAGAAAAAAAAATTGAGTCTAGCAAAAGCTGGAGAAATTTTGTGTTACACATGTACAGTTATGCAGCAAGGTAGTTTGCGAATGATAAATCTTTGATTTAATACCACATGAGAATTTATAGATTAATTCAGTGAACGTATCACTCAGTTTTAATAATTCTGGGAATACTGCATGGTAATGAGAAGCACTCGACTTGGGTACCAGGAGGGAATAGTGCTGCAGCCTTTGGTTAAGGGCTCTGGAGATTGCTTACTCCATAACTAAAAATATATCTTTTTTTCGGTCACTTCACTTGAATTAGCTTTGGTTTCCGGACACCAGCCTATGATCACTCCCTGCCTGCAGCAGACCTGAGCGTGGGAGAAGAGGCCTGTTGTAAAAAGGGTTATAGTGATGTGTGAACACCCGCTCCGAGCCCAGGGCTGTGAAACCAGGCACGGCCGCCACTGCGGGAAGCTGGAGTACTGCCGCATGTCGATGGGCAGCACCCTGCTTGGTTACTTATATTATCATGTTTTTAACAATATTAATTTTTCTGTTCTGTTTGCAGGCGGTCCAGTCTGGTCATAACAACAAAACTGTACTGGGGTGGAAAGTAAGTCTCACAGTTACTCATAATGGTGTTTGCTGCTGCATGCTTTTCCCGTTTACAGCTGCACAACCAGGTGGACATTAATGGTACCTTAGAGGGAGGGTTGTTGCTGTCATTTTCTTTCTCCTCATTTTGCCAAGTCTTTTAAGGAGTCAGAGCTTGGCAGAGGTGGCAGAGGCCAGGGTGCCGTGCTGGCTGTGCTCCCGCCCCGAGCAGGGCTGTGGCTCCAGGCGCTGGGGCCAGCAGGGTGAAGGCCGCCTTGCTCCAAAATTGCAGACGATGTTAATGAAGCCTCAGTGCTGGGCAGCTGGCCCGGGCACAGCCCCATCCCCAGCTGCTGCCCTGCCAGCATCCTTACCCCTCCGCTTAGAAATGTTGGACAGTAGCTTTACAGTCTGGCAATATCCATAGCAGGGCTGTTACCATGTTAAATCAACAGTGGTATTACTCATCCCAGATGCTGTTGTCTTTGAGACTGGGAAGCTGAATAAGATTCAGGGTCTTTCTGTTGTATCAGTTGTAACTTTATTTTTGGGATGTTTAAGCCAGAATACAAATTAGTGCTCCCCAATTGTTAGCACCTCAGATCTCTAACAGCTGCGTGCCTGTTTTTCTTTTGCAGAGCTGAAACGGAAAGAGGGCTTTCGAGAAAACACATCATTGAAGGTATGTGTTGCACGGGGCAGGGGTCTGGCTGTGCCTGAGTGCCCTGGCATGGGCACGGTGGGATGCAACCAGCCGGACCCCAGGGCAAACGCTCTCCTGTGAGCCAGGTCTGCATGGCCCCGGCGCTCGCTGCGCTTCCACACCAGCCCACCGTGGGGCTGTTCCCAGGTGTGGTTGTCAAGGGCCCAAAATGCTCCAAAGGATTATTCTGGCTTTTCTTAAAAAGTGTGAGCAAACACATTGCACACAAAAAGCCTTCTCTACCACACCTCTACACAGCAATAATCTTTTGGTTTTTTGCTGTAATAAGCAAGCGTGTTGTCCTCGGCCGGCTGTATGTGCGTTGCTTGCAGATTTATCGCTTATCTGTGGCAATCGGGGTTTGCCACGCTGGGGTTTCATCGCTTGCTGCCTCACGCAGGTTCCTGGCAGCTCTGCACCATTTTCCTCAAGAACGGCCCCAATCCCAATTGCGGTGAGATGACGGGAGGCAGGAAGGCTCAGTGGGTCTGGAGCTGCTCTGCTGACACAGCATCAGCAGACGTGGCCGTGGCTACGTGGGCTCCCTTGGCAGAGCAGGGAGGGATGAGGATGCAGGGCATGATGTCAGCCGGCAGAAATAGCCTCTGGAGGGGTGCCAGGTCCCATCCGCTGCGCAGCCGGCTGGGAAAGGCTGTGGTTTGCTCTCAGTGCTGCTGCTTCTCAGGTGCTCAATTTTTGTGTACGTTCCCTTGCCTGGCTCCTTCATCCGGTCCCGCATCCCGCTGAGTGATGCCATTGCCTCATGCCTAACCTTACTCATCCATTGGGATTTATGCACCCCAGTCTAACACATGCTCCTCATCTTCCTTCCGATTGCTTTTTTTGTTCTCTCGGATACATTATTGTTGGAGAGCGAGCTAGAGCACATACATTTTTCTGTATGGACAAGTGTGTTTCACCCAATCTGTCTCTTCCCAGAGGGCTGTTGGGTGTCGGGTCAGACACCCAGGCGCAGTGACCACAGGCATAATTATAACTTATACAGGACTTTACATGCAGGACACAAATAGAACAGCACCCACAAAAAGACACATTTCTGTCATATTAAGGATCAGCAGTGTCAGCCATGACCTTGTGCCAGTGAGAGGTCCCTGCCTGGGCTGGCTCCCGACAGGGGCTGGAACAGACCCCAAAAACCCTCCAGGAGGACCCTGGGGCCGACAGTTCCCCCTGTGCTGATCACGAGCGGGTCCCAGACCCAGAAAAGCAGCCAGCAGCACAGGGGCCTGGGTCTGTCTTCTACCTAAATCCTGAGTAAAATTAGCATGGGTTTGGAGAAAAGCTGTGTAAAGCCATGGAAGGAAGTTTTTGGGGGTGTCTGGTTCCTTGGGGGGCCGGGAAGCCTCCGGGACAGAAGGGGAGCATCAGGCTTGGTACCTGTGCTTCAGATCTCTGCAGAGGGATTCACGCTGCCTACCTCTTGTTGCTGTTTGACCCACTTCTGTCTGCTGCTACAGAGGGACATGCAAAACGTGTTCTCTGAGTTACTAGGAAATTATATGCTTTGTGCCAAAGCCCTTGGGGGAGCCCAGGGCAGCGGGCTGTGCTGCTCCCCGGGGAGCGGCTGCTCCTCGCTGGGCGATGCTGATGCTGGCTTGGCTAATCCAGGGCTGAAGCCCGAGGGGAGCAGCACCCTCCATAAACCAACATGCCACAACAGCTGCAGCAATGAAAAGTGATTCTCTTTATTGCCCTGTGTATGCTGGGGTAATTAGCCTTCTCTTTGATTTATGAGATAAACCCTAATTGTTTACAGTGGTGGTTGGTTAAGCTAATGTTTGCTGCCAAGACAAATTAGAAAAGAGTAATTCAGGCTCATCTATATTACTAGTGTGCCGTGGTGTCGGTAGTTTGATGGCACGGGGGGGACCAGCCTGTTCACAGTTCACACTGCAGAATAGGCTGGAGGTATGCTTTGATCTTTGCTTATCAGAAGGTAGCATTCGTCTGCAAAAAATTGGGTTTGCCTGCCAGGAACAGTGGCTTTAACTTGCATGTGGCCATTTGCATGGTTTGTCACTGGAATCGGCAATGGCCCATTTATCACAACTTCCAGCAACCAGGATTTGTTCTGTATACATTATAACATAGATTATATGGAAAATATTATTACTATATTTACATTATCTACCCTTCGCCTGGGCTGTCACTGCCACCTGCACCACAGCCTCGCTAACGCTGTCCCAAGTGGGTGAGGTGGGATGAACATGGTCATCAGCAAACTGGGTGAGCAGAGCAGCCTCTTCCCTGCGGTGCAGATTTGGTCATCCTCCACCTCAAAGGAGCTGTTTCTCAGTGATAAGGAGCATCTCTGGAGCACGGTCGGTTTTGCCTCATAGTAACCAGCTCATACATCTGGGATTGTCCTGGAAATTTTTCATTATTTAGTATTGCAGTATTCAGCAACATTAGGATATGACTTTCATATTAAGGTAATGCTGGAGAAAGCTTGTAGCAACATTTTATTGAACTTTCATCTGAATAACCCCTCCCATGAGGTGGTGTCCCAGCTGCTGGTGGCACTAGACCCAGAGGTGCTTGGGGAAGTTGCAGCCATGTCACAGGCAGTCCAAACCCATCCATTTGCCATTTCTTGCAGAGCTACTTCATGAAATGATAGAAAAATACTGGCAGCAGTTGAAATAACTTCACAGAAAACATAGCAAACAGCGTTAAGGTCAATGTTAGCTATTTTCTATAAATACATTTGGCAAAAATGGCCATTTTTTCATCCCAAAATTCAGAGAACGTTTTCAGACTGCTATATTTTGGCTCATTCTTTATGAACATTCATAAAAACATTTTGTTCCTGGGAAGATTCAAAGAAAATAAGTGTTAGAAATCCTCTTCTCTCTGTTAGAATCCTTATTCTCTTCTCTCTCACACACACACACACACATATATATATGTAGGCTTTTGATGCCATTTCCCATCAGATCCTCCTGGAGAAGCTGTTGAAGCCTGGGCAGTCCTGAACAGTAGCGGCAAAATGGTGCCTTGACTTGCTCTGCAAAACTCTTTCTGCCCTACGCAATGCATTGGCGGGCACAGCTTGCTTACCCTGCAGGGAGGGTAAAGCCCTCCGTGGTGCTTTATCTGCTCGTCATAACATATCTAAGCAAGAGCCACCATCCTCCCATCCAGGCTTGCATTTCTGGAAGGTCCCCCTGGGGCAGGGCCCTCTTAGGTGGGACAGGACCAGTGCGACGTGCCCTGGGCTTGCACTGAAAGGCTTTGTGATGTGATTTAGATTAAATTAACTCTGAACAGAAGCAGAGAGATGAAGTCGGCCCCTGGCAGCTGCCTCCTGATGGGCTGGCCGTGGATATGCTTAGTAACGGGTGTCTGTTCCCCAGACCAAATCTCAGCCTAATTAAAAAAATAAAACAAAGTCTTGTGGAAGGGGAGGAACTCTGCATGCAGCCAAACTGCTGTTTTCTTAACATGGCTGCATAGATGTGGGACAACATTATGCAGTATTCTTCTCATATGCTATATGGTTGTGTGTATATATAGTAGATATGTATATAAATATAACAAGCTCTATTTTTCCTAATACAGTTTTGTACCTGTCAGCTCTATGCCGCTGCACTCCTGCATCTCTCTGACCATGCAGGTTCTTGTCTCTGCTTTGCTGTTTCCAGGGCTAAAGGCTTCTCTCCAGAGGCTGCAGCTGGAGTACGTGGATGTTGTCTTTGCAAACCGGCCAGACAATAATACCCCCATGGAAGGTTAGTGGAAGCTTGAATTAAAGGTTTTAACGTGACTGATCCTGGCTTACAGGCTTAGACTGATGATGGTAGGAAATGTAAAACAATTTTTTATTAAATATTCACGTGGGGCAGCTTAGATATGAAATACCTCATTCGTGATGTCCCAGAGCCCTATGTATTTATACTTCAATGAAATGAATTTGTACTTCTTGAAAGGAAATTGAAGTTTCCTTTATGTCCCAGTGGTGGCTTTAATGTTGTTTGTTTCTTTATTTGCTTTTCCCGATTCCTTCAGATAAAGAGAATTTATGTTTGCATTTAAGGCAGGTCTTTGTGTGAAATGAAACCTGTATATCTCTACCCCTGGTGCAGTCAGCTCTAGAGGGGGGAGCGTGCCAGTGCTGCCATCCCCATCCTTGTCTGTGTCCTGGGCTGCCCGGGTAGCACATGCTTTTCCCAGTGCTAAAATCAAGGGTGCGATCCAATACATGGTCAAAACCAAGACATAATTGGCAAACTTGGGGTTCGTTGCCCCAAGTGCACAAGCAGCACAAGCTGAGATGTAGCGTCTCTGTGGGCTTGGCCAAGGGGCTGTGTGAGGACGTGGCCCCCTGGAGTACAGTGGGGTTCCCCCGAGCGTGGAGAGCAGCGATGCTCTGCCCGTGGCTGGGCTCAGCCTCGGCACCACAGCCTCTCGCCCCTCAGTCCTGGTAGGGAATGGCCCTCGTTAAATGCACTGAGGGGGGAATGAATTTAGGAACTTGCAAGACCTGTAAATATCTGTGCACTTTAATTATGTTTCATTGCTGATAACTATATATTCATGTTTGGAACATGGCCATATAGCCCAGTTATCCAGGAACCTTCATCAATATGTTTTGGGGTCAGTGCCCTATTTAATGGGCACCAGTTCCCATTCCTTCTCTTTTCCCATCAGAGTTAACACAACCATTCACACTGTAGCAGAAGATTAGCTTCACAGCTAAATAAAAAATAGCAAGAAGAAAGACTTGCAGGCTGCAGAAACTGTCATGGATGAGTACATGTAAATCAAACCAACCTGGAGCTTGACAGGCCCCTCTGAAGCTCCTGGCTTGACTTTCAGCAGTCGTGATGCCTATTTTCTTAACGAATGCGGGGCTGTGTGACCCGACACGAACCATGGGTGGATGGCACTACTGCTGCCCCGCAGACCAGTGCCAGCAGCTATGGGTTCAGGGAACTGGCCTGCGATTTTTAAGACCAGTGCAGATTTCGTAGCAGCTGATGAGGTCAAGGAACATGACATGTTGTATCTCGGAGGGAGAAATGACCTCTCTGCTCAGTCAGTTGTCATCTAATGAGGCAGTGCAGAATATATTTCCCATGCCCGCGCAGCACAGCTGATCTCAGGCGTTTACAGCTTTTAAGATGCTACAGATACTGCTAGCAGCGCTGGAGCTTGGCAATAAGGTATAAACTGTGGTGCTTGGTGAGATTTTGAGCAGGGTGAAAAAAGGGACATTTTTATTATGAATGGTGTGGTGTTGATTCTATGTACTTCATGCTTTTTTTATGGTTCACCTACTAAGCCACTTCTATCCCAGAGCATCTGCTGAACACAATAAGTGCTGAGCTACCTCCACAAGACATACAATCCCCGCTCCATCTCCTTACGTGCCTATGCTTTTCCCACGAGCAAATAGCTGTTTCTGATGGAGGGCAATTTGTAGGTAACCTTAAAATGTTCCCTGCTTGTGCTACTCATGCCAACATGTGAGGGTCCTGCTCGAGCAAATAGTGTGGTTGTATGCTGTAAGGTACAACCAAATAAATCAAAGGATAAACTTTGAATATTCATTTTGTTTTCTTCACTTGCTGCATGCAGGCAGGTGAGGTTTCTCTGTTAGCACTCGGGGTCCATCTGCTGCAATGTGTGTGTCTGTGGGCATCAGCAGGCAATGGATCAGCAATTTAGAAATACTCATCTAGTCCCCCCAGCCAAAGCAGAATCGCTCCCTGCTCCTCCAGGCTGGTCACGGCCCAGCTCAGGCTGCCTTAGGAGGCATGGGTAAAGGAGATCTCATAAGAAGAGATGGGAGTTTAATACAGATTTCTTTCTTGTAGGTGACTCTGGTTCCCAAAGCAGTAAGCAAAGCTTGCTTAATCTAAAAATCTGAAATGTATTTACCTTTCTCAAAAGTCTCAGAGCAAATTAAAAAAGCTTTTCATTGTAATATTAGCTTTAAGGAACATCTGGAAATGAGTACCCTGCACAAAGCTCTTTGCATAACCCTGCGGTCAGGTCCAGCAGGTCCCTGGCCAGGACAGCCGTGTCCCTCCTCACCCCTGACCCGGTCTCTGCTCTGCCGGGCAGGCAGGACGAGGGGCCGTCCTCACTGGGGCCATCCATCCATGGGGCAATCCTGCCCCCATTGCCCGGGCAGCTCTGCCATCGCACGGTCCCCCTCGACGTGGGACCTTGGGAGATGGGAAAGATCTGTGCTTCTCTCCTGAATTTCTGCAAGTTTCATGCCTCATTAGTCAGGCTGGAGATCCGATCCCCCAACTGTGCTAGCAGATGCTTTTTTTCATCCTGAGCGGCTTTTCCAGCAGACGAGCAGGGCAGCTCTGGCTGCAGAGAAGCAGATTCCCCAGGGTCCCCTGGTGAGACCCCCACTGCCACTGTGCCGGGGGACCGGGCGCCTGCTGCATGGCCAGCCCCCAGCCCTGGCAAGCAGGTGGGGAAGGTGACATGGTTCCTATCAGGGAACTTTAAGCTACTTCAAAATAATTACTATGCTGCTGGAGGCTGTTTTCCAGGTTTTGAAACATTTATTTGTGTTTAAAAAAAAAAAAAAAATCTCTCCTTCTTAAGTGATTTCTGCCATTTCTGCCATCCAGCTGGCAGGCTGAGGGGTCCAGGCATGTGCTTTTCACAAACCATCCCATCGCCATACCCATGGGAGCAGTCTCTGGTAAACAAGAAGAGAAATATCTATATATATGTCTATTTTCCGAGTTGACTTTAGTTTTTCTTGAAAAGAGTAGATGTGGGAGAAATGAAAACAACTATGGACCGAAATGTGTAAGAGGCGTATGATGAAATGCTTATCAAAATTCCTAAGTGGTAGCGTGGCAAAAATAGAAAACTAAACCCAGTGAGAAGCCGGTGCTGCTGAGGAGGGAGGGAGGGACTGCTGTACAGCTGCCTGTCGCACACAGCACGCCTGCGGGCAGCAGGGTAGCTGCTTGATAACAGGACATTTTGTTGGACTAGTACGTGTCCGAGAATAAAATGTTTAGAAATAAAGTATGGCGTTGGCCAAAACGAAGGGGAACACACCCCCCCCCCCAAAAAAAACCCCCAATATCTGGCATTTGACACATTCATCGGGGGAAAAAAACACTCA